CGGTAACTCAGTCCTCCTTAAGACGTTTTCTCCACTTCTACCAGTTTTTTGTTTTTGTCTCATAAAACATGTTCTTGGGGTTCCAGATCTACTGACGGCTGCTTTCCTCAGCTACTCCTGGTATCTGACAGGGGGTTGGGATTCTCTGCACCTTCCAATCCTCTGCAGTTGGTTCTTTCATGAAAAGGAAACTAAACCTTTGCCAAAGTGAAATGATTGGTGAAAGTTTTTGGGATTGTGTGTCAGGTGTAGCTGGTGTAGCATTGCTAGCTCTTCATTTATAATCCAACAACAGTCAACCAGCGGGGTAAAAAAAAAAAAAAAAAAAAAAAAAAACAGAAAGTTGTGTCAGCTAAACAAACCAAGCAGGCTTTAACATTTTGAATGTTATTACAACTCTATAACACTTATGAAGTGACACTTTACTAAACAATACTTGATATAGAAGATGGATGCAATGGGAAGATGTGCACAGATGTTTTTCTTTTGTTTTTTTTACAAGGTACAGTGCAATGTTATTATTATGCATCCAGCTCAAACGAGTTTTTGAACTAGTTTAATACTTTATTGTTAAACACTAAAAAAACTATTATAGAGGAAAAGCGTCCACATATAGACATGTTAGTGGTGCTCAATGCGTGACAGAAATATTCTATTACAGATAGGGCCTGATTTATATCTGCCTTATCATTTCAGTCCTGGATAACCAATATTTTTCATGTATAAATCGTGTCTGTCTTTATCAGCCTTTAGCAGTTTAATAGTAAGGGTTGTGTAGGCTTGGAGAAAAAAAGAAGAGTTTTATTTCTGCCAGCATTCAGTTCAAAATAATACAGTTAAATGTTGAGAAATAATTAAATTTATCTCTGGGGTATTGCACATCCAGATGCCTTTAGCAATTCTTATTAATTTGACCTGAAGTGAGCCTGGATGTTATCAGGTGTATAAAATCAAAAAGAAGCGTGTGGTCACATCAGTGTTGGAGTTTAGTAACCTTATAAATTATTGTGATTAGTTTAAAGTAGGTTCAAAGTAATCCTATTAATGAAAAATCCAAATAACTGATTAAAAACTGTTTAGGTTGATCAGCTTTTACATGATGGGGTTCTGCTCAAGAGTTTACAGATCATTGGCATGGATTTTATTTCATACCAGAATTTGAAGCATCTTTTTTGAATTTGGGGGGTAACTATCTTTGAAAATTATCTGAGAAAAGTCAAAAGATAGATACAGGCTTGCATGTATACTTACTCTAATATTTAGCTTAAAGCAATTTTGCGTCGGGTCCCGGCACATCTTGCTGTTCAAAACCATATGGTGTCATTATGGTTGAGGTTCTGGTTATGCTGGCCTGGTTTATCATTTCAAAAAAAGTTTTGACATGATTTAAAGTTATTATGGATAAATTAGGCTAACATAAAGCTTCAGGAGTGGCCACGCCCTCAACATTATTGAAACTGTATGGAATAGATTTAAAAGCTAGGTGTGTAACAGGAAGTCATCCAATTTAAATAGTTTCTAGCCTATCTGATAAGAGGAGTGGTGAAATATTCGTCTAGGAGTTTTTTAATGCTACAGGTCTGTGGTTTCTCTGAACGTGTAACCAAATGGTTCCATGTCAGCTGTTAGGTATCCATTTAAAAGGCAAACAATTTTAAAAGCACCTTTGCAAAATTAGCACACTAAAGCTTACATCAGCTGCTGTTCTAGGAGTTAACACGTTACATCAGAGTGATCTAAGAACAATATTTGGTCATCCAGGGCTGAAACCTACACAGATATGATGGATCTTGCATATTGTTGCACGACTAAGGTAAAACAGGAAGAGCTTTATAGGGGATCTATTATGAATTTTAAAAGAATATAAAGGATTAAATGGACTGTATTAACGACATTGCCTTCATTTAATATTAAACAAAAAGCAACACTTTAGAAAGAAAGCAGGAAGAAATTAAGACGAGCGGACAATGGTGTTCAAGGTACTCATTTATCTGGCCTTAAAGTGATATCAGTGTTTAGTTTTTTATGCCTTTGCCAATCATGCGCATCATGCTTCCATATGGCGAGCTCATCCATCGCTGCAACCTATTAGTCCTGAGGATCAGGAGCAGTACTGTATGTGCAATGATGCACAATAATGTGCTAAAAGATGTTTCTGAAGAGGAGTCAGATTTACCTATTTGTATAAATTATATTAAAAAAAAATGAATCATTTAGTATATGGTATGGCTTTCATTTGTGTTGTATAAAAAAACTGTATTTGTTATGTTTTTAACCTCAGCATTCTCCCAGCTGCAATGAAAAGATATTTTAAAGAATTAAAGCAGAAGTGTAAAGGATGACTGGCGTTTGACCTTATTATTCAAAGCTATAGTCTGTTGTTTGAAATGTTAATCAAAGCTGAACTGGGTTATAATATACACTTAAGGAAAAATACAGAGTATGGTTCCTCACATGTCTGCTAGAGAACACTAAAAAGCAGCATAATGTATGAAGAAGGGATAATTCTGTGATCAGAAAACTAAAACAAAAGGTGCAAATGCCCGAGGAGCTGAAGAGATCAAAAGCTCAGGTTTAGGTTCTGCAGACAACACAGCTGTTATTTGCACTTCAGACATTGGTCATTATGAAAGTGTGGCGGCAAGAAAGCCATTACCAAAATTAAAAAAAAAGGTCCTTTATGCAGCTTACTAATATTACACCTCATCCTAAACACACCATCCCCACTGTGAAGCATGTTAGTGGCAGAATCATGCTGTTGGAAAGCTTTTTTCCTTCAGCAAACATACAAACAGAGCTACAATCTAGATTAGATTTAAGGTGCCAATATTCAGTTGTTAAGACCTGCCATCTGCTAATTTTTGGATTCATTTCTGAATTCCCACATCAGTCAGAAGGGATCATTGCAGCCTGGAGAGGATTGTCTACAAAGATCCACTGAAGAACAAAGAGTTGTCCAACGCTGGAGTCGGTTACTGCAGCTGATTCAGCGACCATGGGATCGCAATACAGATAATCTATGAAGAATTAAGAGGAAGATGTGTTATTAGTCAATCACCTTTATTTCTATAGCACATAAAACAGGGGTAACCAAAGTGCTGAGCATAAAAACAATCTACACTAAACTATTTTATTCACATTAACAACTATTGTCAATGAACTACAGAAATTATATATATTTAAATAAAAACAAGTTCAATTCATTCCTTTTTTTTTTTTAAGATTTAGTTAATTTAGTGTTCAAAACTACATCCATTATTTGCATCTTATCATTTTTATTTTTACTGGTAAATTAACTTGATGCGCCTCCAAAACTGATATTAAAATATTATTAAATGTCTTACTATTTTAGTATTTTCACCAAATTTGTGCAGGTAAACAAGATGGTAAATTGAATTATTAATCCCCTAAAATACGATAGGTATTATGCACTTAAAATAAAATGGATTTACCGTAAATTCTCTAATATTGGCCTGTATTCCAATAGCGGCCGGGACTCTAACATTGGCCGGTCTCGCTGTCAGAGGAGGTAAATAATGGCCGGTCTCTAATACAGGCCGGGGCTATAAACGTTTTTTCTGGGCATACCTCAACATTATACTTGTGGTAGTAAGTAACATACAAGTACCACAGCCCTGCGCACCTGGACGACAGGCCCTGACTGCTGCCCGTCTGCGCGAGGAAGAGAACAGACACGCAGCAGAACATGAGGAGGAGCGCGAGTGATGAGGAGATTAAAGGGAGAGATGAAGAGGAGGAGAAAAACTGAGGAGGAGAATTAAACAGAATTGGAGGATTTTTTTTTTTTTTTTACTTCAAACCAAGCGAGACATGGTAACTGTACTTTTTTAATAAATGAACCTAGTGTTTTATAGGTTCAAATAGACACAAAATCTCATTTTTATTCATTCCACTGGTAGTCTGTTTTGCTCAAATAGCAATAGAGGCCTGTCTCTAATTCTGGCCTCTATCCAATAAAGGCCTGGACCGCGATGCACTTGAGTGAAATAAAGGCCCGGGCCTATATTAGAGAATTTACGGTATTTATTTTAAGCATAATTCATTTTATTCCATTGGCAATTACTTTAGTATTACTTTTAGTAAAAAGTTAGTTTAATTTTTGTAGCGTCTTAAAAATGTGGGGGGAAAAAACACTGTTTGTGTTGGAAGAAAACAAGGGCTTTCAAATAATTTTCCCCATGACTGAAATTTTAACAGAAAAAGTAAAAGATGCACATTTCTGTGTGAAATCTAAAGAATGTGTTAAATCTCTAGAAACCACTTATTAATTTTGTATTGAAATTCCATACTTTGGTCAGTAGATGGCGCACCTCTTCCATACAAACTGATACTACGCTTCTTCCCCTCCACACCAAGAAGCCCATGCTTTTTTCTTTTTTTTTAACCACAGAATCAGAGTAAATTTTTTGGTTTAAAACTTTGTAAATGTCCCGACTGTCTTGAGGCCACCTCACCTTCCTACATTAATACATGACAGCAATAATTAGCTTTATTTTGTTTATTTATTCAACATAAAACAGGCTGCATTGCATAGCAGGTGCATTATTCCTCAAAGTCTGAGCTGTGACAAAGTCCTCCTTTACATAGAAAAAACGAGTGATAATTGAACCATTTGCCAATAAACTGAAGAAATAAATATGTAAACAACACATCATCAGCTGGGTGTTTGAAAATACATGCAGGAGTCTTCACAAAAATAGGGAGTTTTATCCTAAAAAATAAAAACATTTGGTTACAGAGCACCACACCTAAACTGCTCTTTAAAATGAAGCACTACAGAAAAAACAATATCAAAGTTTAGAAAAGGTGCAAACAAGACTAGAATTTTGCAGATATTGCTTCAAGTTTTATAAAAAAGGCACACACCATTGTTAAACTGGCTTTTGGTAATACTGCATTCAGCTTCTCCTCACCCAGGCCAGCAACGTTCACATTCCTTTCATTCTCCATCACATTCAAAATCTCTTTTCAAACTCTTTTTCTCACCCAAAAATTCAAAACTAAATCAAATTGCATAATTGTCCCACAGCCTGCATTCCCTCCAGATCCATGCCGTAAGTAAATATATACATCCAGGACATGAATGAGATATGAAACAAAAACATTTGTATGTACAAAGAACAGTATGTACAGTCCAGTCCGTACTTCTGGGGTGTTCTGAAGGAGAAGGGGAGTGTTTGTTGCAGGGGATCAGAAATTAAACAGACTGATAAAGTCCTGAGGGGAGAGGGAGGTGGTGTAGCTTTCAGGGTTGTTGGCCGGGCATGGATGGTTGGTATCCTAAGAACAAAAGCAAAGCCAGAGTTAGACGTCCAGTCTGAACGCTTCATTTGTTCTGAATTAAAGTGCGGGGGACGGAGAGGGAGCTGTACCTTCCAGAAAAGGATGTGGCAGAGTGTGCAGAGGTGCAAGGTGTCGCTGTACTGCTCTCTGTGAGGGTAGCAGCGGCTCAGTTTGAAGTACATTTTCTTCCACTCTAGGTGACCTTTCTCTGAAACCATCAGACGCTTGCGGATCTAAAAAAGAAGAATGCAGACTTTAAAAAAATGTAACCCGTCAGAGGAAAAGATGTCATTTGGGCCACAATGGCAGCGGCACACCATCCAAAGGGGTTTGTTAGGAGTCCTGACACTATTTTATCAAAAACATATAAAGTTAAAAACTAATACCTAGAGCTGCATATAGAACCCCAATGAAGAAGTTTAACTTTTTATTTCCTTATTTCTGCCTACCTGTCTGTCTGTGAAGTGGTACTGGCAGAGTTTCTTCCACAGCAGGCGGTCCTCAGCTAGGCTCCCGAGCTCCGGACACACCTGGCCCAGGCATACAAGGTCCCTGCCGTCTGTTAGTCGCTGCATGATGTTTAGCTGCAGACTGGAAGGCAGGTCTGTCAGGGTCATCCCTGTTGATGTAGGCTAAGGAGGGGGGATAGAAACTGTTAAAGGGGGATGTGCACCACAGATTTATACATGCTGGAAATGTTTATTGTGGACAGATGCTCACTCTGTTGATCTGGATGTTGTTCAGCTGCTGGTGCCACTGCAGGATGTTCTCCATGCGGTGCACCCAGGTGTTTATGTTCCCCACCAGCACCGACTTGCCCATGTCCTGAACGAGACCACACAGCGAGACGTACAGCGTCTGCAGCAGCTCCTTGATGGGGCGGACGTTCTGCTGGTCATCCAGAACTGCGGAACAGGTTTTTACCTCGTTTAACTTACATCGGTTAATATCTTAAAGCATTACATGGTCGCTGGGCAGTTCATCTTCAGGGTGAGTCATCAGATTAAACGGGATACACAAAGTGTTTCAGAGTGGCTGCAGTCCTCCCAGACACATTTCCATTATATTGCCAGAAGGTTTTGTAACGCCCCCTCAAACAACTTGAGTCTGTTTAGCAGAGGGAACATTTGGTTTACACTGTGGCTAGCTGAGGGGTCTGCTGACTGTCAGGATTCTACACAAGGCCATTAAAGACCAGGTCCAAGCTGTCTCTAGATGTTTTTGCTCATTTGATCAACTAAAAGAGTAAACGCTGCACTTTTCGAAGGTATCTGGACACCTTTCACATTCTGACTATTTACAACTATAAACTGAAATGCACCGTATTTGGATTTTGTTCAGTAGAAAAGTTTATTTCCAAGGCAGTACTTCTCAGGAACTTAACACCACAGGTACAAAACTAAGGGTTCATCTCCTGATGCCTTGGATATCTACATATTTAGCCCTTTTAACCAATCTTCCTTTGTAAAATACCTTTTTGAAACTTGCCCCAGATCCATGATGTGACTGAGATGTAGGCCTTGACTGAACCTTTCTAACCATCTAAAGCTTTTTATTCTAACATGGTCTGTTAAGACCCTAAATGTATTTATCTTCTAGGATTTTTCTGCGTTAAGCTCCATTTATCATCTGATCAACTGACCAGCCTTAATGTTCCTGCCGAAGCGATGAATCCCCTCAGCATTATGCTGCCATTATCGTGCTCAAAGCCTGGAGGTATGGTTGTGTAACTCAATTCTGCTTTAAAGCAGCTTGAGTCAGTTTGATGCAAAACAAAAATTTGGAATATAAAATATAAAAGCTTTTAACACAAAGATATGAAAAAAAAAAGGCAAAGGGTGGTGGTGGAAAAAAAACACAGGAAACCAGGCCCACTCAAAGAAATGAGACAATCTGAGATCCAAACGATCAGAGCAGATGCACACAGAGAAGAGGTGTGATGGGGCTTACCTTTCTGAACAACCCTCTCCAGAATATTCATGTAGTTTTTCTGCGCCACACCGCTGAGCGACGGGAGCTGCGACTTGGCGATAAGCTCCAGTAGCTGCAGCAGAAAACGAAGAAATAAACATCAATTTCTCTGCGTCAGCCTCTAAGACTCTCTGTTCCACTGCCTCCTTACTTCATGTTTAGTAGCCTGGATTCCCAGAAAAACACTTCAACTCTTCACCTTTTTAAATAAAACCGGAACGCCTCACCTTGTCATTGCCCTCAACTGAAGATCCATCAAACAAACTGATTACTTTTTGGTCTGATACGTCTGGATTAGAGACGCTATTCACTTGGCAACAGTCAACAACACTGGCTGATAAAAATATAAGCTTTGAATCAGTTGACCTCTGATCTTCCAGTCATGTGAATTTCTCACTGTGTCAATTTTGTCCGTTTGTGTAGTTGTTGCCATTGGCTTGTGGACAAACGGAGGGTTAAGGGGGGTGGGGGGGTGGGGGGGTCACAGTTGGCATCTGACAGGCGCTGTGACGTCATGGAGAGATCCGGGTTGAAGCCATGCTCTGTTCTGCTCTAAACCTCTAAGGCATAAACAGGGAAATTACCCTCTTTCTTTATCCCCCAACATTATCAGATTTTGTTTAGGGGTTCTATCAGACAATGTTTTTATAATAAATGAATCCTTACGCTGTAGGTTTGGCAGTTTAAAATTTCCACATACCAGTACCTTTCTCCTCCATTCCTCATACCTAATCCCCTGCCTTTCTCTCCATTACCCGCTCATGAAGAGTTGCTGTCTGTGCAGAGCTGCAGGGCAGAACAATGTGCGCCTCAAAGTCTGCTTTTAGATTCTAAATCACAATCATTCTATGGAGACCAGTTCAATATGTAGATGTATGGCTTCTACTTTTAATTCAATCTCATAATAGTTCATTTTTATTATCTAACAAATGTTATGGGCCTGTTTTCTTTCCATACAAACTGCACCTGACAGCTCTACATGTGTTAGAAGTAGGGATGCACGATATAATCGGCCCCCTATCGGTATCGGCCTGTATCAACCTTAAAACTGAATATCGGACATCGGCCACCCCACCGATATTTAACCCGATATTTGATCAGCTTCTGAGTTTCTAAAGTCTAAAAAGAAAAAAATAAATACTACTACTTCTTCTTCCTCAAAAACTTCTTTTTTTACAGACTTAAAAACTTCTAAAGACGAGGGAAAAAATACTGATACATTAAAATATCGCAATATCTTCATATGCTGATATATTGCCATATAAAAACACCATATAAATCTCTTTTACTAATGAAATATTGCTATATGTCATCGTTATGCTACGAAATCCCCCGAAAATTCACAAAATTTTGCCATATTTTTATATGTTGATATATTGACGCGGTATCGATCTATTTTACAAACAAAATCTCACAAGAATTTGCAAAATATCACGAGAGTTTGTAACAGAACGATGAACTTTCACGAGATTTTGAAAGTAAAATAGATCGATACCGCGTTTTTAAAAATCAATTTGATATCAGCATGTGAAAATATGTGAGTATATTAATTTTCAAAGTGTCAGAAATGGATAACAAAACTGCTATTTTCAATGACTACTTATTTTTGTCCAGCTTTAACATCGGTATCGCTTATCGGCTACATGAGTTTTAAAATATCGGCATATCAGATATCGGCCAAAATCCCGATATCGTGCATCCCTAGTTAGAAGAGCTCATTCTTCCTGCTGTTCTAGTGTGAAGGAGGTCATTTAGGTTGACTGGTCGTCGAGGTAACCTCAGCGTGTCTGCTCTGGAATAAGGTTATCTGTGTAACAGAGAACAAGCTCAGCGAACCCCAAAATGCTGTCGCACAGCGAGGAGCAGCGACCCGGCTCGGGCATCGCCTCCATACTAGAGTTACAGCAGTATTGTTCTTTGTGCCGAACAAACTGCATGGCGCTTCATACTAGATTCTTCACAGGTGGTTAAAAGAAAGCAAATTCCTGCTTATTTGATAAATTTTATTTGGATGTTTTGTGTTTTTTAAACTGAACTTATACCCTGATGCCTTCCCTTCTGCAGAGTTTTGACACAAAGCAGACAACGTTAAGCATTAAGATGATGTTGTCTGAGGAGACAAGCCGCACCAGTGACTAAGCAGAAAGAGCTGAGGAGGAGACGGCAGGCTTAATCGGGCAGATTCAAGTGTGTGCATGTGTGTACGTGTTTGGGGGTCTGAATCAGCTGACAAGCATCAGGTCTGGTTTCATAAACTCCTGCCGGGGGGTTCACACTTCATCGCACAGCTGTCACAAACCGCCTCACCCCCACCTACAGGGTGACACTTTGTGCTCACATGAAAAAAAAACAAATGCAACTGAAACCATCACTTTTGTGCTTGCATTATTCTGGGCTTTCCAGGTGGAAACCTTACAGAACCAGATTTCTTTAATAAACAAATTTTAACGTGATGTATTAATGACTGGAAGGTTACAGTAATCATAACACAGACTCTTGTTCAGTATCATCCCTGCAGTCTGCAGAGCCTTGATAAGAGCCCCCCAGAAGTCTACCCACCCTCTTTAACTTTAACCCCCCACTCCTTTCTCCACCTCTGACAAACACACCTCCATTAGCAAACCCAAAGAGACAGAAGTGACTAAAAAGCAAAGAAAGACCAGGACTCACTCTGACAACGTAATTAAATCTCCTCGTGTCCTTGATGGCGCTTGAGAAATCCAAGCGGTTGAAGGCCTCTCCCAGTGTACAATATCCGTGGCGCTGGGAGAATTTAATTATCAGAGTATTAGACAGCAATCCTCCGCAAGAGTGTGGAGTTGTTTACATTAGCAACTGTGATTGCAAAAGTTGATGGGAAACTAATTGAGCTGGTCTTACCTCCTTGGTGCTTCCCTTATGAACATAAATCCACTTTTCCCGATGGAAATCTGCGAGGCAGAGAAAAAACAAGGAAGAAAGTGTTTATAATAGTGCTCATTCTGCTGCCCCTAAGCTCTGGGACAAATTCACAGACACGCACCACAAATAAGATCTCATCTCAGAGCTGGTTTAGTTGTTGACGAGACGGTAATGAAAATGCTCGAAAATTGGGATATCACGTTTTTTTAATGGCAATACTTATTTCTCATCTAATTTTTTTTTTAAAGCATAACATTAGGAGAATAGAAATGATGCATTGACCCCGCCTCCTGCCCGTAGGCAGCACCAGAAATCTTGCGGCCCCAGCTGGGATAAATCGTGACGGAAAATGGCTGGATGGATGAAATTATGTATTGCACCTTCTTCATTATAGTAAATAAAGAGATTTTATGTGAATCCTTCTTTCATGCACCAAACCTAACTGTAGAGGTGGATACACTTTTATGGAGCTTTCTTGTTCTAATAGGAAGCACTGTACATACTGTATACATCCCATGCACCTTTTTCTTCCTTTGGCACCTGCTTCCTCTCTTTTGTCTGTTTGAGCCGATGCAACAGGTAAATTTCTCTACTTTGAGATCACTAAAGTCAATAAATCAATCAACTTTAAAGTGAGAAAGCGGAAAAAAGCTGCAGACTAAGAAGGTGTCCACAACCCTGGAGGTCAGCATCCTATAAGGCTGCAGAAACAGAGGCAGGTCCAAGCTTTTTTTAATCATTGCTTGGGACAGTTTCTATGCATTTCATCTGGTAGCGCACACAATGTGAAATATTTGTTTGGAAATGAACCAGAAGTCCTGCCAATCGCTAAAGGTCATCAAATGATCAACAATGCACTCTTATAATGGAATTCCTATGGGGTTAAAACAATATACAATGTTTGATTAGCTGATCAACACTAATAGTTAAAGTATTTTTTCCCCGCATTTTGATCTTTCGGCTGAAAACAAATCCTGACAAGTTGTGTTTCTGATCTGGAACAGATTCCTTGTTATATAACTAATGTATTCTGTGCATGATTGGACAACAGGTCAGCCTGCTCGGTTCTCCTCACAGAGACTCACAGGGGACTTTGGAGTCGTTGTTGTTCATCAGATCCTTTTTCCTCTTCTTGGCTGACACGTCATAGCTGAGAGAGAGCAGCAGGTTCTCCTTGTTGCAGAAGCTGGAAATAAATAAATAAAAAAGAAGTTCAGACATGAGCTACACAAAGCAAGAACATATTTGCATCAAATGTAGATGTGTTGGTGTTTTTAGGAAGTGACTGCAGGTTATTTTGGACTGTGGCCAGTTAAAGCAGACGTTTGTTAATCCCCCCATGTGTTGTCAGGTTATTATTAGCTCGGTGATTAGCCTGAAAAGAAACTTAGCAACCAGAAAAACACTGATGGAAACCAAGACGCAGGCCTCTCACTCCGCCTCTTTGTTTGCAAAACTGTTTGGACTCTTTTCAAAACATCTCCCCCTTCCTTTCCTTCATCATGTCTTTACAGTTTCTAAATTCAAAAGCGGAATAACAACGCGTGGTATTGTCAGGCAGCTACATTTCTAAATTCCGGACTTTAAACAACCAACCTCTCCACAGAGACGTTGTTGTTTTTGTCTTCTGCTGTCCTCTTTTTCCATCCTTCTTCGGTTTTGACCCAGTTCTGACCCGGTGACCTCCAGTCCTGTCCGAGAAAAGGCATCGCGACTCGGTAACTTGCAGCTAAACCCTTCAGTTAAAAGCTCTGGGAAAGAAATAATAAAGATTAAAAAAACAGTTTGTTTCTGTGCGTCCCTTCTAATGTTAAGTGCGTTTGTGTGCTTGTGTTGACACTGCGCAGCTCCACTTTTATCCTCCGAGTCTGAACCCGGAAGCGCGTAAGCTCCGCCCATTTTGGAAACTTCCTCGCAACACGTGGCTTTGTTTATCAACTCCTGTCTGTGTTGCGACAGAGAGGAGAAGAGTGAAGCTTTAAGGATGTCATGAAAAGATAATGATGTCAAGAGAAACTCAAGACAATCAGTGGATTTTGAACAAACTGTATAAAATGTAAACCATATAACAATAAAGTTCCTGACAGGAACCAAGAAGAACATTTATTTTGAGTTTAGTACAGGGGTTGTCCTTTGAACAGCTTGCTCCAGTTTTGATGCTATTTTCAGAGCATCACATTAATAGTCTCTCAGACAGGAACACATACATACATTCAGTTTAGCTGATACAATTTGCACAATCATATGACTGCAATACCAAACTTTCAGCCAGTGTATAAGAAAGCATTTTATTATAATTACATAGATACACAGAGTCTTAATCCTCCTGTAAATATTGGGCCCATATAGACAGGTAAAGGGATGATCAATTGCTCTTTGATGTGCATGAAAGCTCCAAATCATTAGTGAAGCTCATAGGAGTTTGAGATGTATTACCAAATTATATCTTCTGTATGTTTATGGTACCCACCTGGTTTATATTAAGTCCCATTGAAAAAAATCCCTTTGGTCTACATAAACATGTTTGCTGGAATGTAGTTAAAATCAGAATCCAGCACTGATTAGTGTAGGATATATTTCCAGGTTGAAACATTTCCAGGGCATGAAGGGAAAATACATTCATGCCTTCCAGCGAACTGTGTGTCAAGCCTAAGGTTATAAATACATCTACAAGTGCTTTAGATTCTTCCAGAGCATTTGGTTGCAAAGCAGATTGTGTTTGTATTGAGCCATATTGTATTATTTATCTATCTGTTTATCTATTAATAATATTTATTGTGTACTCTTGTGAGCTTTAGGCAAAGAGTATTGTCAGTCTGGTTGCTTTGCTCAGATTTTTTTGTTCAAAGAATAGTTGAAAAGTTCAGGCTGCCACTATTAGAAAGATGATAGGACATAGGATATAAAAGATGGTGGAACAAACATATCAGCCTCATAATACCCACTGTGATTTTAATATTTCTAGATTTCCTAGATTCATCCTGTCTTGAATTTGCATGTAATCTGGTGTGTGCCTGTCCCTGTGTAACCATGCTGTGAATGTATGTTAGTGTTGTTACGACTGGTAACTGCCTTTGTATTGATTCTGAAAACAGCTAATGTTGTTCGACTGATTATGACCTCTGTTTTAGAGATAATTAAATCACTGAAGATACATTTAAAATCTATTTTTGATTGAATTTTACTGTCACACTATTCATTAACTGTAACATCAACTAAGAATAGTGCATTTTATTTTGAAAAAAGTAAGTAAATATGATCAAGGAGGAAGCACTTTTACTGTTTCAGTCAAAGGAAATCCATACAGGCTGAAAGATGATGACATCGGCAGCTTCTTCCTCAAAGTCAACAAACATCCAGTTGATGCAATCATTTGGATTAAAAGGCTGCAACAATGAAGGTGAGCTTTTGTTTATTTTGCTAAAGAATGTAAGCATTTCTAAAATGATGCAATTAGAATTAAAGCAACATACAGGGATCCATTTCTTTTCCCTCTTAATTAATGGTACTTCGGGTTAGCCTGTACACTGAGGTGGGGAGTAAATAAATGGCTGCATTTACTTGAGTAATATTTTGAAAGAAAAAAAAAAAAAGGTACTTTTTGAAGTAGTTTTAAACAATGTTACTTTTACCTGAGTATAATACCCCGTCGACTGTGAATAAGTTGAGCTGTTCAGCAAGCAGATGAAAATATACAGTCATATGAAAAAGTTTGGACACCCCTATTAATCAATCATTTTTATTTACAAATATTTGGGTTTTTGTAACAGCTATATCAGTTTGATATTATTATAATAACTGATGGACACAGTAATATTTTAGTATTGAAATTAGGTTTATTGGACAAACAGAAAATGTGCAGTATGCATTAAAACAAAATTTGACAGCTGCAAAAATTTGGATACCCTAATCATTTTATTTTTATGCAATTAGAAATAAAAATAATTAAGATTAATAGGGGTGCCCAAACTTTTTCATATGACTGTAATAAACAGTAGATAATCAGTGAAAGTTCTCTACCCTGTCCTAACATTTATGTAATTCTCACAGCAAGGTTTGATTTGATCATGTTTATGCTGAAAAATCTAGATATGGAAAATATTTTTTGTTTTTGTGTTTTTGAAATAGGTTATTTATATTTGTTATATATTTTTGTATATAAAATGCCAACATTTTCATATAAAGTCTCTCTAACTGCATAATTTCAATAGTTTTTCTGTACTGTACCCTCCTCTGCTTTTACAAGAAGCAACAGGCAGTTGTTAAGTTTGCTCCTGTTGCTGATGTATTTTTTTTCCAATGCTGCAGACTTTTCAAATGTGGCATGAAAGCACTGGAAGTCCCCAATAAAATTATTTAATTGCGATGTTCATAAGCAGAGATTGCTGTTCACTCTGCATGTGGCCACAAAGTGCATTGGCTAGCTGAAGTGATCATTACTTAGATTGCACTTAAACACTTGATTGAGCTTAAGTTGCATCCATGCTGGCTGTTACATTGAATGGTGATACATATATGTATATATATATATAAAGGTCGGACTTTATGGCTGACAATGCATGACTGTGAGAACTTGAGAAACATTCAGTAATTACTATGCTGCGGTTTGTCCCTAAGGTCTGTTTAATAGCTATTTATAGAACAGGCTCAAGCAGAGTGACATGGAAAGTCCCAGCAAGTGTTTGGTCAGTGGGTGACTAAGCTATGATCTGAGGCCCAGAGTGGTTCTGGCCGCTTTGGTTTACTAAGTGGACTAATATATATATATAAGTGTAGATTTGTTCCATGATACATAAAAAATAACATTTTTTAATCAAATCTTAACCCATTTGAAAGATAGAACATATAAATTAATATTATTTTTTGGGGTAAAACTAAAGCTAAGAATTCTGTAAACTGAACAGCTGGACAAACCTTTTATATCAACAGTGAAATATTTGTCTGTTCCTCTTTCCAAAAGTAGTTCCATTTGGGATGGATGGAAGGCATCTTGAAACATCAGTTTTAAAGTCTTACAAAAGATTCTCATTTGTATTCAGGTTAGGGCTTTGACTGGATTATATTAACACATATTTACTTTTTTCATATCTAATCCCTCTCTTTGCTGCTCTGGGTATTTTTGAGGTCGTAGTCCAGCAGAGAGGTCAACCTGTGCTCCCATTTAAAGTTCTCCCTTTGAGTCTTTTTTCTCCATCTTCTCCAACCAGCACCACCTTTCCTAATGATAAGCATCCCAGAGCATCATGGTGCCAACACTATGGTTCAAGGTGAGGATGGTGCATTCCCGATTAGGTTTTGTTCTTCGTTTTTTACCTCACACAGCATTTTGTTTCTTTAACAAAATGTGTGATTTTCCCGTCTGACCAGAACAGGCCCAGAAGTGAAACCGGGGTAAAGAGATCTTAAATTGATGCCACACTTTTCACTTTTCATATCATATCTTAAACATTTTTTTCATTTGTCAAAAATGTGGTAAGATTTTAGATCTTTGCAGCATGATGAACATGACCTTTTTTTCTTTTAGGAAGGTCTCAATTAAAACTATGCCACAAATTTTTACAATTTTGTTTAGGATAACTTATTTAAATCTTATTCCATGTGAAAAGAAACAGCTAATTTTGGAAAGTCCCCACTCATATAACTCTGTGTCTCTTTTGCTTCCTCTGCTCTTGTTGTGATGCTGGGATGAGACACAACAGCTGGTCAGTCCTTGTCAACCCGCCAACAACCTTAATCACAGGAACACGCGCACAAACTCACACAGACACGGTTGCTTAATTATACACCTGTCGCTGCTCCTCGTGGACCGGTTTCATCACTCGCTCAGATTCTCTGTTGTGAAACGCGGCTCTTCGGTTTCTCTCTTTTCCTGCTCTTTCTCACATCTGCCAACTCACCATCAGAGCCACATGCTTCATGTGGTGTAACAGTTGCTTTCTTGTTTGTTACTCAAAATAACGTCAGATCACCTATAGGTTTTTCCAGCCTGTCTCTCCTCCCAGTCTTTCTCTCCCCCTTTTCAAAGACTGGTGCCTGGACTTTATTGACTGAAGGACATCTTATTAAAACATCATGACAGAAACGTATTTTGATACATGTTTAAATTTGCAGTCATTTAAGTGTTAAAAAAGCGAAAACTGTCTCAAAATCAGATTCTCTTCTGTTTGACCTTCATTAAGTGCAAGCAGGAACCTTAACTTAATCATATAGCTTACAGCGTACAGACATTAGTTATATATTTAATTAAAGCTGTTATTTTATTTGCATTCTAAATGAAGGAAAGGAAAAGTTTGATTGTTTCATTATTTATGTTGTTTCATTTCTTACTGTTTGGCTTTAAGGTGTTCAAAGTTTCTCAGGCAACTTGTTTTTGTAAATATTTAGCGCTGGGCAAAACATCGAGATGGAAAAAAATATTGAGACTTTTAAAAAAGAGACATTAGGTGAGATTTTATCGACTGTAATTAAACTTCACATTGCCTTGCCTCCCTTCCTCTTTGAACACCCCATTTCACTCATTTTCTTTTAGGAGAATTACTATTACACCTCCTCATGTGCATCAACAGCTGTTTGTTAATAATTGTTTCTGTGCGACATTTGGCACAAAGCTTGGATTCGAATGGATTTCTTCATTTTATATTGTATATTGCCATGGAGATTTAAACAGATTTTTTTGGGCCATAAAACAAAGCCCTACACATAGTGCTCTGTGAAAGTTGAAGTAGTTTGTGTACAGGATGTGTGGGGTCTGCAGGAAGGTTAGCTACCATTTCTTCTGACTGTATTAGGTCCCGGATGGAGGAAAGCTCAATTTCAATTGCAACCTGTTCAAAGCCTTATCAGACATCTCCACAAAAGACTTTCAATTATAGTTGCAATGAAGGATTGCTATTAAGAGCCTTGAACAAAGGAGGCTGAAACAAATAAACCCTCTATTTTTTATTTCTTCTTTTGTAAATACTATATATATATATATATATATATATATATATATATATATATATATATATATATATATATATATATATATATATATATATATATATATATATATATATATATATATATATATATATATAAATATATATATATATAAAGATATATATATATATATATATAGCCAAATAAAGCTATATATATAGCTTTATTTTTTTGGCATTTAAAAAAAATACAGGAATGAATACTTGCATGAAAACGTTATATTAGTTTCTCCAAGTCACTGATATAATTATGTAATTATTATGTTATTATTGCTAATAGTGAGTTTTGAGTATAATTTAATGGAAATCAGTGCCATAACCTATAAATCATGATGCTGAAAATAATGTCAGCTTTTCAGCTTCTGCTATGAGTGTGTGGAGAGAAATGTGTACACATACAGGCGTGGTGTGTAAACAAGGCTGCTAAGTAAACACAAGTATGAGATGCTGCAATTAGACAAAGTATAAAGTCACATATCTGGAATAACATCTATAATTAAAAGTAAGAAATACAGTAAGTGTCCATAAAATGTGACAAGTGATGCATATGGAGAGAAAAAAAATCCTACATTAAAAGGTCTAGAATAAAAAATCTTCTGTTGACTAAAGGCTGAGTTATATATTTCTGATTCCTGTTTTGGTCGGAATATTTTATAAAATAAATAGTTAAAATCACATCCTTACCATCTGATTTTCAGCTTCCTTGAAACCTTGGATAATGTTTGCCAAATAGATGTGCAGTCTGAGACCTCACAGCTGAAACTAAAGAGCCTTTGGGATTCAAACCTGACAAGTAAATCTCATGATTCAGAGTTGGCTGAAAATAGTGCTTCGCCCTTTGAGAAGTTAGACAGGTTAAGAACAGGCTGTGCAGCACAGCAGCTTTCTTTTAAAAGTGTAGGTTCTGAATAGAAACATCTTGCAAAAATATCTACTTTGGATTTCAGAACTCCTTTTTTTAAGTGTAAATTAAGCTATCAGATTCTATAAACAATCTTTAAATAAAAAGTTCAAAAAGTGTAAGCATTTTTCACATGTTCTTTGATTTTCATTATGATTTCTTCCGAATCTGTGCAGCACAGGTCAGAGTCAGGGAGCCGTGATCGAAAAGTTTATATGGCAAGGTCCCTTTACATGTCCAAGCATCTGTCTTTGGGTCAAAGCACTCCAAAGTGTCCAAGTCCTCGATGACATCATGGCCACTGACGTAACGACCACCTGTGATGTAGAGCTTGTTGTTGAGGCAGGTGGCAGCGTGGTGCATCCTTCGCTCCTTCAGGTTGGCACACTTAATGAAGTCGTTGGCTTCAGTGTCATAGGCGATTACTCTCCTGGTGTATCCTGCGACAGCAGAGGCATTAGTATGAGAGAAAGCATACATCTGGGACAGCATTGCAATTTATCAATGCTTCAGAAAATTTACATCCATAAAATTTTTTTAAACTGTTCCTTTATAAGAAAAGCAGATTTTTTTTTTTTACTTTTAAACCAACAAAATAACAAATAATATGTATACATGTCAGAATGTCATTGTTTTGTAATTATCTCGATATGTACTGTATTTAAATATATCATAGAAGACATAGAACATAAAAGATGGACATTTCTGAAAAATAAAACAATACAAGAATATATTTGTTTCTATCAATATTTTATAAAAAAGAAACTTCTAAAATAATTTATTTTGTTGTTAACATTCAATTAAATCGCATCAAGCAACATTTCCTCCAATTGCTGACCAGTCTAACATGTTTCACTGCAAATTAAAGAATATATCTTAGTAGATGAGCTTTTAGCAATCGACATTAAAATGCCTTCTCCAGATTAACCTTAGCTCGCTTCACCAGGTTCTCTATCAGATTCAAGAAAAGTCTCAGGCCAGGCTGATTTACAACCTTAATATTAATTAAGTAAATGAAGTTTTTATTTAATCCGATCATCTTCTCAAACAAATTTTGAACCTTCCCCTGTAGTTAAACATATATGAGTTACTTAGTTGAGTTGTAGAGTAGTGGCACCTTTTATGGGTTATTCATTTTCTACATTACACTGTTTCTTTTGTTTAACTTCTTTAGATTGTCTGCCATCTATGTTGATGATACTTAAATGGCAATAGAAGCTGAAAATAACTACAGTTCTGTAGTGTGTTTTATCTATTGAATTATAATCAGTCTTAATCTAACAATTGCAATCAACAACTCATGCTATTGTGTTGACATACTCATGCTGCTTTTCTTTGAAAGTGTGATTTTATTAATGATTAATTTGGAGTTGTTACTCGGTCTGCACTGGAGCAAGATCAGCTTTACAGTTTTCATCTAGCCTCACCTTGATATCTGAAATACGGTTAGGTCAGGTATTAGTCAGAGGTCCTACCATTCTGGCTCAACATGATGCAGCTCAAGTCTTCGGCAGGTCTAAAAGACATGAAAGCTTTACTTGCTTTCCTCCCTTCAGTGGTTTCTTGATAGAATCTGAATTGATTTTTTTAATCTTCCCTCTCACCTTCAAAGCTTTAAATGCCCAGCCTCTGAATGCATCACACAGACTCATTGACCTGCCATGTTTCCTGCTGACCACTCTAATCTGTTGACAGCTCCCGGTTTACTGCTTCCAAGTCACCTCTTGTAGGGTTGTTTAATCTTACACAAACCTTAAACCAATAATTTGTCAAAGCCTTTATTAATTTTTGATCATTTTCAAACATTTATGATAGTGATTTTCCATCCAGCCAGACTGACTATTATTTCTTTGAACCATGTTTTTGAAACAGTTTTTTTTTTCAAATGCTGTATTCTGACACTGCTCCTCTAAGTACCTCCAATGATGTAGATTTTGTTATGCAGGACAACAGCAGGGGCAGACACATTCTTCACTGTTCTGTTTTCCATCTTAGACCACATGTTCCTGCCAATATGATACACCTATAATTGGGGCAGGAAACAAAGAGGGAGAGACCTTATGTGAGTGGATACTGGTGGGAGAAGGGGTAAACAAAGCACAAAAAGGAGACAATGTTTTGAGTTCACCTGTATAAGTCTGACTGGGCTATGTGTGGCATCCTGCCCTCCAAACATGTAGATTCTGTGGTTGGTCGCAGCAACTGCAGGGTGCAACACAGCCTCTGGCATTGGTGACACTGCTTCCCATTGGTTGAACATACTGTTGAACCTTAAAACAATGTTGAGAGGTTGTTTGTTCCAGTTTTACCAGTGATACTTGCTTTTATTAGTGTCAGGAGGCTCTGACTGCGGTCTCACCTTTCCACACTAGCTGCCAGCTGTCTGTCAGATCCAAGGCCTCCCAGGACAAAGATGTAGTGCAGGTAGGAAACACTCTGGTGGGCAAAGCGAGGCTCCAGCATGGGCTCTGCTGTCCTCCACTGGTTGGTCTTAAGAGAGAGGGTGTAGACCGCCCGGCTGACTTGGCTACAGTTTGTGGTCAAGCCTCCAACAACATAAAGTATACTGTGAAGGGCTACATAGGAAGCTTTGTGAAGACGAACAGGGAGCTTGGCAAGATGCTGCCATTTTTGGTTCTTTTCATCAAAGACCAAGGCCTCCCTTGAAGTTTGTTCATTGTTTCTCCTTCCTCCCACCACCACTAAGGTATCATCATAACTGCAGCGCTGTGGTGCAGCCCAGAGAGGTTTAAAGTCAACCACAAAGTCTCTGATGCTTTTTGTCCCAATTGAAAACATGAGCCGCCTTACAGATTCAATGATCTCAGTGCAGAGAGTAGAAGACTGAATCAGGGGGTCATTTGCAATGAACTGGAAGAGGTAAGTAGGGTGTAAATGTCGAAGACGAACCTTTTTAAAAAGGCTGCTGATGGTCCCACGCCTTGAGACAGGATCATGGTGGATCCATGCAACAAGTGTCTCAAATACTTGCTCCTCGTCAGCGCAAATGCTGTCATCATTCAGGTACCACATTAGTTCCTCTAAAGAAAGCTCACACAGATCCTCAGACAAGGACACGTCACTGAAACGTTTCATGGCCATTTCCTTTGCTTTTTTCCTTAAACTTTCACAGTTCATCATCTCTGAGAGTCTGATCATACTTAAGCAGTTGTCTGGTCTCAGTTGTGCCTGAAGGAAATCTGAGCATGCCTCAAATAGGCGGCCATATTGCAACATGGATGCCGCCTGCATCAGATGGAGCACATTCTCCAGGTCAATGCTAATGAGTCCAGTGTAAACGTAGTCAACAATGCTGCTTAGAATGACAGGTTTAACTCCTTTCATCTCAACCTTGCTTTGCTGTGTTTCCATGAAGTTGTTGCAGAACATGGCTCTGAAGTAGGGGCTGCTGGACACCAGAACGTTACGGTGGCAGGGGATTTCAGTCATACCAGCGCGCAGGACGACGTCTGTCAGGATGTTCTCCTCCCTCAGTTTGTTCAGCTGCAGAAGCAGGGCGGAGGAATGTTCAGCATCTTTGTAGTGAAGAACTTCAACCGCAGACAGATCCATCCTGGGAACAGACAATGTTGACCTGCTTGTTTTTATGTTTTTAAAGTTCTGTTGCACCCTCGTAAATTTACAGGTCACATTTGGAGGTATGGCTGAGTATTACCATGTCAAAGATTAAAATATATGTCAAATAAAATATTCAAGCAATTAATTGGGATTTAGGAAAATGTACAATAAATTCAATGAACAGTCATGATTTACTTTCTGAAGAAATATGTACTATGATCCTTTAACATTTAGTGCCTATTTACTAAACGAATCAGTATCACAAACAATGACCAGGATTCATTCAAATTACTCTACCATCTTCTTAAGCTTTATGTGACAAATAAAAGTCGTCAAACTTTTATAACTACTTCTTTTTTAGAAAATACTAAATTGTCCAAGAATCCCCATGCGGATAACATTTCAAAGCAGATGTGTAACAATAAGTCAGTTTAGGTCAAAAAAGGATTCTTGTTTAAAGGATCGAGTTAAATATTTTATCCATTTTCAAGATTAAAGGTGAAATAACTAACAAAACGCTAAGGTCTGATTCAAATATTCCAAAGGGCTGCAAATTTGTATTTGCGAAAAACGTATTGCACATGCAATAAGTGGCCGTGTTGTTGATGAGCTTCAAAAGTCGTCCACACAAATAAACCACATTGTTGCTGCTCTGTCTAAATGAGTAGATTGTCAACTTGCAGTTTGAGAGAGGCCATAAAAAGAAAAGAAGATTCTAAGCCATATAGTTGGAGGTATTAATGACAATAATCATAAAAAAATATATACTAGAAATATTATTTGAAGGTCACTTGTGCTACGTTAGTAGACAAAGTGTTATGAAAACAGGAAAAAATATCAAAAGATGAAATTAAAGAAAATGTTTAATTATAAAAAACAAAATATTATACAACATGGGTAAGTTGTCATTGTCTGCTGATTGCCTCTTGCCACATGAGCCAAGAGCCTCCATGCACTGGAAAAATCATCTAAAAATAAGTAAAAATGTCCTAAATTAAGTGTATTTACCCTTAATTTGAGTAGGTAATTGAGATAGTTTGCCAATAGAATGAGTATTTTACTCTTAAAATAAGATAATTAGATATAATTCTCTTGAAATAAGAAAATGCAATTGTATTGTCTTATTTTAAGTGTAATTGTATTGTTCTATTGGCAAAATATCTCTTTTACCTCCTTAATCCAAGAACGAATGCACTCATCGATTTTTTTTTTCCAGTTTGCACCTTTAAGATTGTGATGAATGTTTTGTGTCACTGTCAATACTCCTCTTTTGTCTTTTTTCATAAATTTGTCTAATATTGAAATTCAATAATTTTGTATTTTGCTTTATTTTAACCACATAAAGAATGCCTGCCTTTCCGCTGCTTTTGGGCGGAGACATTAATTTTCTCCATTAATATTCTGCTATTATTATTTCTGACAGTCCCAATAGTTTTACATTTGTTTTAGTACTCGCAAACCTTTTAAAGATCCGGCCCTAAGTTGGAAAGTCATTAGTCCCTTATCATCCTCAAAATCCAAGATGGTTCCTTGTCAGATCTAATTTAATTCAGATTATTTGTTTTTTTAAAGATTTATTTTTCAGGTTGATGTTCATTAAATAACTTGCCAAAGTGATTCCAAAAGAAGACAAAGAGAGAAATCGATTGTCATTGCTTGTATTGCTAACTATTGCTAGTGTTGACTCTGAGTATATCCACCAGCAGATCCTATTGGTTTTCAAATGGAATTGAAACATGGTTTAGTTAGGCTGGATGTCATCCTTACATTCAACATTTCATTTTCAGAATTACAGCTTAAACAGCCATCAGTACTAGGTACTAATCCAATGTGTTTGTGCTTTAAAATCCAACATTATTCTACATTCACATCTTGGTTCACTGTTCCTATTTAGTTAGGAAGAACCTGATAGGTCTTCTAATTTACACATGGAAGTTTTGGTTAGTGTGCAGTTTAACTTGTAGACAATCACTAAAACAACCTAAGTCCTGTCTGTAGTATTTGTACCACAGCCTGAACACCACTGAATTTACATTAACACTTGAATTCATTTTACTGAAAGATGTAGTTTGTTTGTATTCACTGCAGGCTAGCACTTCTGCTTTCAGCTATTTATAAAAAGTGGATGTGTTTATGTGATCAGTCATGGTTACTTGTCACACTATCAGTTATCTTTTTTCCATTGTTTCCACTATCTGCGGCTGCAGCTTTGCCCTCTTTTTATTTCATGCTTTATAAAAGCAAATATATGTGATGATTTACTGGGGAACAAAATGCAGTTCATCAGTATATCACCTTGTCTGAAAAAAATATCCTCAGTGAGTCTAAAATAATCTTGCAAACAGAAAACCAATGCATGAAATGCCCCATTGCAGATCGCAAAAACACCCGCCTAAAGATCTCTTACCTGTTTCCTCTTTTCTTTCTCAGATTTGGTTTCTAGAGAGTCTTTAAAATGAAGTCAGAAAAAAAAAACATTCTGCTATGCATCTTCTTCCTCGTTCTTTTGATGATGCTATGCATGAGCTTCTCTCTTTGTAGCCAGAGAGTTGCACACTGTTTGTTGTTATGGTCTCTTTCCACGATGCCTGTGTGCATTCCTTCCCCTAAAAATAGGGTCCCCTCTTGGAAACACTGCTACAGACTCACATGTGACACAGATGAAAACTTTCTGAGAAATCTGACTGACTTCAGCGCCTAAACATCTTATTTTCTCTACACGTCCTCTTTCATTCCTATTTCAAAAACATATAAACATTTAAAATCTCGCCTTTCACCTATATTCACCTGATCATCTGTGTCTCTGCCCGGAACATGATTGCAACAGTAACACCATCATAGATAGCTGATACTTGAACACTCATTTTGCTGTCTGCTCGCTCTGCCAGGCCGTCTGCTGGAGCTCACAGGGATATAAAAACAAGATTATGTTACTGTTGAAGCAACATAAACTGTGAAATCAAGGAGTTTGGCATTCAAGCAAAAGCACAAGTACATGTAGAATATTCTGGCAATGGAGAGAGATTTAAAAACAAGTTGCAACAAGTTCTTAGGAATTTATAATCACACAGGAAGCAAGATGTTCGGAGGGTAATCTGTGAAAAATAAGGGCTTGGCTTCTTTTACAGACAGTGTTCAGAAGGATTCTAATTATACTGTACATGACAGAAAGATGCTGGAGTTTCCTGCGGTTGTTTTTTGTTTGCTTCTTGAAGCTAATTTCCATCTCATTTGTTTTGTGCTTCCTAGGATAGAAAAGGATTGTCTGCTCGTTCCCTCTACTGCTGGAGAAGAATCGAAGCAGGGTCCTGAAATGTGGGCAGAATAAAGCAACAAAAAACAACAAAAAAGTGTTTTTTCTAATCACATTTACAGATGTACCATGTTTTCCTTGTACCCTCGGCTTTGATACAGAGCACAGCAAATTAGACACAAAAGCAGCTTGAGCTACTCGTGGGCGCAGGAATCCATTTAGTGATCAAAAGCAGAAGGTTTGTGCGTTCAGATATGTTATAGTTGGGATAAATGTTAGTGTTGTTATGAACACTGGAGTCATTATACAGGTGCTGGTCATAAAATTAGAATATCATGAAAAAGTAGATTGATTTCAGTAATTCCATTTAAAAAGTGAAACTTGTATATTATATTCATACATTACATACAAACTCATATATTTCAGATGTTTATTTTGTTTAATTTTGATGATTACAAATGACAACAAATGAAAATCTCAAATTCATCATATCAGAAAATTAGAATATTGTGAAAAGGTTCAAAATTGATGGCCCCTGGTGCCACACTCTAATCAGCTAATTAACTCAAACCACCTGCAAAAGCCTTTAAATGGTCTTTCAGTCTAGTTCTATAGGCTACACAATCATGGGGAAGACTGCTGACTTGACAGTTGTCCAAAAGACGACCATCGACACCTTGCACAAGGAGGGCAAGACACAAAAGGTCATCGCTAAAGAGGCTGGCTGTTCACAGAGCTCAGTGTCCAAGCACATTAATAGAGAGGCGAAGGGAAGGAAAAGATGTGGTCGAAAAAAGTGTACAAGCAAGAGAGATAACCGCACCCTGGAGAGGATTGTGAAACAAAACCCATTCAAAAATGTGGGGGAGATTCACAAAGAGTGGACTGCAGCTGGAGTGAGTGCTTCAAGAACCACCACACACAGACGTATGAAAGACATGGGTTTCTGCTGTCGCATTCCTTGTGTCAAGCCACTCTTGAACCACAGACAGCGTCAGAAGCGTCTTGCCTGGGCTAAAGAGAAACAGGACTGGACTGCTGGTGAGTGGTCCAAAGTCATGTTCTCTGATGAAAGTAAATTTTGCATTTCCTTTGGAAATCAAGGTCCCAGAGTCTGGAGGAAAAGAAGAGAGGCACTTCATCCACGTTGCTTGAAGTCCAGTGTAAAGTTTCCACAGTCAGTGATGGTTTGGGGTGCCATGTCATCTGCTGGTGTTGGTCCATTGTGTTTTCTGAGGTCCAGGGTCAACGCAGCCACATACCAGGAAGTTTTAGAGCACTTCATGCTTCCTGCAGCTGACCAACTTTTTGGAGATGCAGATTTCATTTTCCAACAGGACTTGGCACCTGCACACAGTGCCAAAGCTACCAGTACCTGGTTGAAGGACCATGGTATCCCTGTTCTTAATTGGCCAGCAAACTCTCCTGACCTTAACCCCATAGAAAATCTATGGGGTATTGTGAAGAAGAAGATGCAATACACCAGACCCAACAATTCAGAAGAGCTAAAAGCCACTATTAGAGCAACCTGGGCTATCATAACACCTGAGCAGTGCCACAGACTGATCGACTCCATGCCACGCCGCATTGCTGCAGTAATACAGGCCAAAGGAGGCCCAACTAAATACTGAGTGCTGTACATGCTCATACTTTTCATGTTCATACTTTTCAGTTGGCCAACATTTCTATAAATCCTTTGTTTTTATTGGTCTTCAGTAATATTCTAATTTTCTGATATGAT